ACGATAGCAACGATAACAACGATAACAACGATAACGATAACGATAACAACGATAACGATGACGATAACAACGATAACGATAACGATAACAACGATAACGATTATGATTCGACTTCGGGCGCACGCGAGCACGGACTCGGGGTCCGTGGGTCTGGCGCGCGGGCGCCAGATCCACGGATCGGGGAAGGCCCCCTCCGCAACGTGAGGCCAGTGCCGACGGATCGCGCCGATCTCGGGATGGAAGCGGCATCCGCCGCGAATCCACGCGCCTCCATCCTGCTTGCGCTTCCTTGATCTAGAGGGAAGAGAACTATGCACATACACCGATTATGGCCAGGCCCACCCTGAGCCCAGGATCGGTGCATACGCCCTCTTACCTTGGCCAGGAAGGTATATGCACCGATCCTGGGTCAAGGATGGGCGTTGTCAGGATCGGTGCATGTGCATAGTTCTCTTCCCCCGATGATCCCCTCCACTTCCCAGCTCCTCCCTCCCTGACACCCCCGCCCCCCCCAACAGCGCGACGGCGGGCGTGCGCGGTAACGCAGCTGGACATTGAAGGGTAGCGACCAGCACGGGCGTCACCCGCCCCAGTCACTTCAGGTGCGCAGGAGGACAACACAGAAGCGCATGGCGCACGAGGCGGAGAAAGAGTAAGCGGACGTTGCCCCTCGCAAGGCTTCAGTGTCTCGGCGAAACAACAGAATCTGTAGAAGCGAAACCGCTCGATTTGTACAACGCACCGGCATTTTCGCTTAGGTCGATTTCTGGTCCATCTTCGCTCTGGGACTCGCTCACTAGTTCATCTCGCTGGACCAATGGGTTTCTCAGCGTGTCGAAGTCGAGGTTGCAGCGTCTCACCCAAAAGGTGACAAACCACCCCAATATGATCATATTAACTGAGATTGAGAATCATCAGCGCGAGTCGAGGAGGGAGCACAACTCGTCTTGCCATTCGCCTCACTCTGATCAGCGTCTACACACTGCCTCCAAAGTAGTGAGTAGTGGCGGCCCCTTGCCAGCCCTGATCCCCAGGTGAGGCGATGGCAGCGTCTGCAGCGGCTTGTGCACATACGCAGACCGCAGCGCTATTAGGAAACGGAGAATGCTCGCGTTGGCCTTGCTACGTCATGGGCGCTAGCACGTGTGCATCGCATGTGCTCTGGAGCTCCTGAAGGTACCGAATGTAGTGCAGGATGCATGTGCGATCAGTTTCAGACGCCACTTGTGGTTTCGGGTTGGCGCGCTGGGCGAATCCAGCGAGCCCGAAGGAACAATTGGCTGAAACCCGAATCCCATGCGAGAAAACATTGGACGTCCGAAATGGAAACGCACAACACGAGTACGATGCCCACCAGCGAACGCTGTTCCAAACCGACAGCGGCCGCTGTTGGGCAGGCAATGCCTTGTCACAACTAGACAACCACCGTGGCGACGCCGACAACGACTCCGGTGCAACGTGGGCAGTCGCTGCTGTCGGTCTTCGTCCCTGTCAGTTCCGCTTCCGCTCCGATCGTGCCGAACACCCAGAGCGACCCACAAGCACGAGCACCATGACCAGCCGGCAGGCGAGGGCTGGCGGGAGTGGCACGCTGCGCCCGCCACCCGACGGCCGAGGCTGGTGACGAGCAGAACGGCCTCGTCTCGCTGGAGCCACCGCCCTGTCGCTGCCCGCCCCGCAGCGCCGTGTCCCATCTCCCCCAGAGGGTGCAGAGATCGGCACCCCTCACTCACCCGCATCACCCCCTCACTCCCTCCCTCCTCCTCGCCTGCCCGCCTCCCCCCACTTATCCTCACTCGCCCACAAGCCCTCCTCTCGCCTCCCCCACGTCCCTCCTCCCTAGTTTCCCATCTTCCTCAAGATGGAACTGATACTTCAAAGCTTCGGCCATGTTGGGCCGCGCATCGCAATCCGTTCGTCAGTCAGGCAGGTCGGCGCCGGCCAGATACCACCAGCGGCGGCAACTCGACGCCGCATGACGCCATCCCATTAGCAGACACCCCTCGCCTGTTCGGGAAGCAGTGGCATGTATAAAATATAGGCTGCCGACGCTGGCACGTGCAGCAGCCCCTGGCTGTGGTTCTCCCCCCCTCCCGCCCCTACCCATCCACCTTTCCCCCCTCGTATTGCCTCGCCCCCCCTTGTCTCCCTTTCCGCCGCCTCCCTCCACGAGTTTCCCTCAACCCCGCCTCCCCTCCCCTCTCCTGCCAAATGGATCTCTACGCCTGCCCCTTCATGCCCCCCTCATCCCCCCCCCTTCCTTCTCCTCCTCCTCTTCCTCCTCCTCCTCCTCCTCCTCCGCGCTTTCCCCCGCCCTCTTGCTCCCCCCCCTGCCCCCCCCCCGTCCCCTCCCACGTCCTGAAACCTCTCCCTCGCCCCCCCTGCCCCCGCTCCCTCAGCATTCGCATCGGGAAGGGGTCCATCTCATCTCATCCCATTCCATTCCTTCCCCCTCCCCCTCCGCCCCCCGAAAACAAACAGACCTTTCCTCCCCCGCCAGCCACCGCGCAACGCCTCCGACCCCGCGGTTCCCGTCTGAGCCCGTTCGGCGTCTGAGCCCGCTCGACCGCCGAGAGAGCCGCCGCACGGGCTCAACTCCGACAGGGCTCGAGGGAATGCAGCTCGAGCGGCCGCCGAGCGGGCTCTCGATCCGGAGCCCACTCGGCGGCCGCAGGGGCTTAGACGCCGAACGGGCTCAGAGGGGAACGGCAGATAGCATAACTGTGCACTTTCGGAGCTCCGCGAACGAAGGATTGCAAACAAAAACATCGTTTTTTTGCAATCCTTGTTTTTTTGCAATCCTTAGTTTTTTTGCAATCCTTCGTTTTTTTGCAATTTTGATTTCTTTGATCTGCGCTGGACCCCTCTCACTGGCGCGCGGAGCCTCCAGGACCCGCGCCCGAGGCGCCGCCGGGGCGGGGCCCGGCGCCGATCCAAGAAGCCCGCGCGGAGTTTCAGGTCGGGCATGTCCTGCTACAGGCGGATTTTGGAGGACAGATAGAACATGGTTCAACAATGTGTCATGGGAGAACTGTCGATTCCCCTCCTCCGCCCCTCCCCCAGCACGCGCCCCGTTCCCTCCTTGCTTCTGGGGCGTCGAGGATCGGGGGAGGACGAGGGGTGCGTGGATGTCATGGCCAGGGCCAAAATTCTCTTTCAATGGTTCAACAATGTGTCACGGGAGAACTTATCGAAGATCGTCAAACAAATCGTCCCCAGGCTATCTTTTTAGTATTTTTGTGCACATTCCAGCTGTAGAGGGGCATGCCCGACTGAAGCGGAGCTCCGAAAGTTTCTGCTTGTGCAGCTCCCTGCTCCTCGAGGGAGCCCTGGCGAGGCCCGCCCATGCCTCGCCCGCCCCGCCCAGACCAGGGCTCCCTGGGGCTCGCCGAGAGGGCGACGATTGAGCAGGGGCCGACCGTCCGGGCAGTCCTGCAGGCCTACTCCAGATTTCGGAAGGGAGGGGGGTCTCATTTCGGGGGGGTCTCTTCCAGGCTATCTTGGAGGGCCTGGGGGGGTCTGGGGACGATGTTTTGGAGGGTTCTCCCACGGGGGGGGGTCTGAAATGGCTTGTCTTGGAGGGTCCAGACTACCTCCCTTTTATTACGAAGTCTGGAGTATAACGAGAGGTTCTTAGAAACCAGCAGTGTTCAAACAGTGAGCGCTGTTTTAAGCGGCGTTTCGACATTGGGCGGAAGGGGGGGGGTAGGGAGTTGTCTGGCTCCGGACCTCTGCTTAATGCGGCCGTTTGGAACCGTGCGTCCTCTGGGGGAGACTCCATCTGCTCGAAACAAGCGCCCCAAAACAGCCAATATCTGTCCATTATGGGGGGATGAGGGTGCGAGGGCCCGCACCGATCGGCAAAACAAGAACAATTTTCTTATGACATTGCACCTGTGAAAACCCCCACCAGTGGATGATTTGCAAATTGACACTATGGATCTTGAGATCGATTGTGAGATCGATAGTGGGATCGATAGTGAGGACGATTGTAAGGTCGATCGTGAGACTGAGAGTGAAATCGATTCAATGAGATCGATAGTGAGATCGATCGCGAGATCGCTCTCTAGTGAGATCGCTTGTGATATTGAGAGTGAGATCGATTGTGAGATCGATGGTGAGATCGATCGAGAAGTCGGTAATGAGATCGATAGTGAGACCGATCGATAAGAAGATCGACCAGGAACCCGGGAACCCGGGAACCTCGCCGCCCTCCGGAAATCGGCCCGGAACCCGGAACCGGGAACCCGGGAACCCGGAACCAGGAACCCGGGAACCCAATCTGCCACCAAAATCGGTGGGGAACTCTCGCCAAATCCATCAACTTCTGCTAGGACCCCTTCAGTGCAAGCACTGATTGGGGAATTAACCCGATGTGTTTAAACAAGACAGCCCCAACCAGGAATGTTCTGAGAACCTTTCGTGCGAACCACAGAACTTAGGCGCCCGAGTTATCCGGGGTAGCTCGGGCCCGGGGTAACTCGGGTTTGGATTCCCGAAAAAGGAACCCGAGTTAGCCCTGACCCGAATTACCCTGATGATGTGGGGCTCTGGACGCCCGAAGTATCCGGGGTAGCTCGGGCCCCGGGTAACTCGGGTTCGGATTCCCGGAAAACGAACCCGAGTTAACCCTGACCCGAGTTACCCCTGATGACTCGGGGCTCTGAAGAAGGTTCTTAGAGAATTCGTCTGTGGGCCTATAGGCAAGCCCGGACGCTTCGCCACTTCGGGAGCGGCCAAGAGGGGGGTGTCCAAGAGGGGGGTGTGCAAATCATGACCGGCGGCATGTGCGCGGCCCAGCGGGGGGGCCAGGGACGTAATGAAATAAGAAGAGGCGCCATGAAATCTGAGGAAATATCATGGCCCCCGCCATGATATCCTCCCCCCCCTAGTCATCACCCCCCTCTTTTCCGCCCCCGACCACTGCTTGAGACGGGGCGCCCGCCGCCCCGCCGGTGGAGGGCACCCCGCGGCGGGGCCCGCTGGCCCGCCGGCGCTCCTCAGAGGCCCGCCGCCGCCAGCTCCTCCCCCTCGGAGGCGACGTGCTGGCCCTCGGCTTCGTCGTCGTCGTCGTCGTCGTCGTCGTCGTCGTCGTCGTCGCCGTCGTCGCCGTCGCCGTCGCCGTCGCCGTCGCCGTCGCCGTCGCCGTCGCCGTCGCCGTCGCCGTCGCCTCGCTGCTGTGGAGGGCGGCGACCCCTGGGCCGCGGGGGCGGCGCCGCCGTGTGGGGGGGGGGGCGCCCAGGCGCAACGGGTCTGAGACCGCTCGGCGTCTGAGCCCAACCTCGGCCGCCCAGCGGGCCCCCAGTCGAGCCCCCTTCGGCGGCCGCCGAGGGGTGCCCGATGCCCTCGGCGCCACTGGTCGGAGCTGAGAGCCCGCTCGGCGGTCCCCTCGGCGGCCGAGAGCAGGCTCCGACGCCCAGGGGGCTCCGACGGGAACCGTGGGGGAGAGAGGGCTCCCCCACCCCGGGACGGCCGAAGGAGGTTAACACCAGATGTCGGCTCCCTCGATCCGATACCATCTGATGCATCCTCCTCGTCCTCCTCCTCCTCCTCCCTCCTCCCTCGTGGGCTGGGGCGAATGCCATTCCCCAGCCACGCCAAGAGAATAGGGAAGCGTTGTGTCCAAGCGTGGATTGGGGCGAAGTTTTCCTCCCCACACTCTCGGCAGCGCCCTTACCCCTTTCCCTTCCACTTCTCTCGCCCGCTCCCCCCCCCATCCCCTATTCTGGCCCGCTCCGCTTCCTTCTCTTGCCGCCCTCCACGAGAGGGAGCCGCCCTCCACGAGATGGAGCCGCCCTCCACGAGAGGGAGCCGCCCTCCAGGAGAGGAAGCCGCTCTCCCTGAGAGGGAGCCGCCCTCCACGAGAGGGAGCCGCCCACCAAGAGAGGGAGCCGCCCTCCACGAGAGGGAGCCACCCTCCACTAGAGGGAGCCGCCCTCCACGAGAGGGAGCCGGCGTTTTCAACGCAGGCCCTCTCCTCTACCAGAAGCCGCGCGGAGCGCGCCAGGGTTGGCGCCAGAGGCGCCGCCAGGGGTGCCCCAGCGCAGATCCGAGAAATCCGCGCGGAACGCCAAATGGTTATGCCCATGCCGTCTCCTCTTCCTCGAGGCACGTCCTTCTTTCGCTCCTGAGGGCTGGGAGGACATCCTCCGGCGCGCCCGGCCTGGTCCGCCTCGGTGTCGGCCGTGCTCGCCGAGGACGTGCGGGAAGGCTCCCTGCAGAGCGCGGGCGGCGGCTCCATGCGAGCGGCGGTGTCCGCGGGGGCGCCGGCCGTGACCTCTCGGATCCACGGCGAGCGGCGGGCGGAGGCGCGGCCCTCCAGCTCGAAGCACGCCTTGACAGGGGGGGTCGGAGGAGGTGGAGGAGGATCACCAGCATCACCACCATCAACATCATCATCAGCATCATCACCACCATTACCCACCGCCACCACCATCATCGTCATAATCATCGTCATCATCACCATCATCGTCATCATCATCATCATCATCATCATCACCATCATCATCATCATCATCATCATCATCATCATCATCGTCACAATCATCATCATCATCATCATCATCATCATCGTCACAATCATCATCATCATCATCATCATCATCATCATCATCATTACCTCCATCATCATCACCACCACCATCAGCATCCTCATCACAATAACTACCATCATGACCTCCATAATCAACATTATCACAATCACATTGCCATCATCACCACAACCACCACCATCACCTCCACAATATTCATTATCATAATCGCCCCACCATCATCATTACTACCATCATCATCACCACCATCAGCATCATCACCAGCATCATCAACAGGAGCATCATCATACTTATCGAATCACCACCACCATAATCCTCATCAGCATCAACACCATCTGTCTCACCACCGCTTTCTCAACATCACCATCGTCCGTATGATCATCCGAATTATCCTTATCATCCGCATCATCAACATCATCAGCATCATCACCTCCAAATTCGTCATCACCAGCAGCAGCAACAGCAGCAGCAAAAACATCGTCATCAGCACCACTACCACCACCATCATCAGCATCAGTATAATCACCATTATCAGCATCAGCATCATCAGCATCATCACCATCCGCATCATCAGCATCATCACCATCAGCACCATCAACATCATCATCAGCACCATCAGCAGCAGCATCAGCATCAACATCATCAGCATCATCAGCATCATCACCATCCTCCTCCTCCTCATCATCGAAGCATGTCTCAAGGGGCGCGTCAAAGGGCCGCGGAGGAGGAGGAGGAAGAGGAGGAGGAGGAGGAGGAGGCGGAGGAGGAGGAGGAGGAGGCATGGCCAGCTGTCGCTGGCGCCCCGCTGGGTGCCACCAGCGCCACCCAGAATCTGGACGCCAAGGGCCAGGCCCGAAGGTGCGACCTCAGGAGACGAACGACAGACACCTACAAAGACAAGTACGAGGAGGAGGCAGAGGGTGGATGAGGAGGAGGAGGAGGAGGAGGAGGAGAAGGGCGGGGGGGGGGGTTCGGTTCGGTCGTCCTCAGAGTGGACACCAGACTTAAGATGGGTCTGGTGCCCAAGCCGCGGGTTCAGCGAGAAGGAGGGACATCGGGTGTTGCGTTCCGATGTTGTTTTATTGATCGTGCACGCCTCCATAGACGCGACGACCATACCGCCAATGCCTGCGCGACGCGAAGAAGGGGATGAGGATGAGGAGGATGAGGAGGAGGAGGAGCGGAGGCGCAGGAGCAGGAGCAGGAGGAGGAGGAGGAGGAAGAGGAGGAGGGACAGGACGGAGGAGGACAGAGTGGCCAACAGTAGGCACAAGAACATCGGACTGGTGCAGGATATGCGCAGTCTATGTGGGGGCCTACGGCCACGCGCGCAGGGTACGACGCAGGCGCGGGCCGCTGCATGATAGGACCTTGCCTCCCGGGGAAGGCCGAGGCTCGAAGGCCCAAGTTCTTGGCCATCTCGGCCCTTCCACCGGGGAAGATCGACGTTGTTGAAGGGGAACTGGAACACACAAATAAATACACACAAATAAAAATATCCTTCATATTTTCCTATATTTTCTGGGTTTTTGTCTTCCCCACCACTTCCCATATTTTTGCATATTTTCCTGGGAGTCGACGATTCATTGTGTCTGTGTGTTTCTTTCCCTCCTGAGTTGTGTTGGCTTTCTCTGGCCCCCTTCTGTTTCCGTGCGGGGTGCAGAACGGTGTGCGGCGACCGCGGATCCTCCCCGAGGCCCCACCGCCCGGCCCGTCACCGCACGGCCCTGGTGCCTCGGGGGCCCCCGTCGCCGAGACGGCCTCCGAGAGCGGCCCCAGCCCCACAGAGCCGTGCGCCCACCACGAGCCCCCACTCATTCACCACACGGCGTGGTCACTCCTCCTCCTCCTCCTCCTCCTCCTCCTCCTCCCATAAAGACAGCCCACACATCAAAGCATGGCACTGGAAATAGTTACGTGTCGGCGCGGTGTCCCTTGTGGGAGGACTCACAGCCAACCTGGGCGAAACCTCATAACCATGCCATAACCCATAACTCATTCACCACACGGCGTGGTCACCCCACCGCTTGGTGGCCCCCGACCAAGGCTCGCATGCCGAGACCCCTGGCCCTTGCTGGGCGCCTGGGCCGCGGCTGGTTTCGGAAGCCTGGCCAGAGCGCACCCCTCTGGAGAGCTGGTGGTCGGCTGTCGAGGAGCGGGAGGACCTCGCCGCCCCGGCCGCAGGAAGGCCGCCCGGCGCGAGGCCGAGCAGGGGCGTCGGCGTAGACTTAGGTCGGGCATGTCCTCCTGCAGGCGGATTTTGGAGACAAAAGACGCTAGAAAGTAGTCAAAATCAAAAGAAACATCTACCCCAGACTACTATTGACTATTTTTGAATATTCCTCCTGTAGAGAGACGTGCCCGACTTAAGCCAAGCGTAGACTGCCCAGGTGTCTCCTCTCTCTTTCCTGTCGCCTTGTCGTGCGTTCCCATCCCCCCTCTGCGCTCGTGTTCTCGCCGCCTCTCTCGTTCTGACAACCCTTGCTGGATAACGGCCGCTGCTCGAATACTCCAGATTTCGTAATAAAGGGAGGGGGGTCTCATTTCGGGGGGGGTCTCTTCCAGGCTATCTTGGAGGGCCTGGGGGGGTCTGGGGACGATGTTTTGGAGGGTTCTCCCACGGGGGAGGTCTGAAATGGCTTGTCTTGGAGGGTCCAGACCCCTTCCCTTTTATTACGAAATCTGGAGTAACCAGGAGCAAGCCGCACCGAATCGGGAAATCGGGCAAGATCGAATCGGGAAGATCGGAACGTGCGTCGGATCGGGCCCCCTCGCCTCTGATCGGATCGGCCGCGCCGGGATGCACAACACCACGGCCGCATCGGATCGCCAGAATATCGGAATCGAATCGGATCGGGCAAGCCGAAATCGGCATCGGATCGGATCGATCGGATCAAAACGGGCCCTGAGGGTAAAGGATGACCGACTCTGGCCGGTTCACGGGCTGGCTTTGCGCACCGCTGGCCTGGCGGGGTCCCCGAACGAGGCCAGTGTCGCAGGGAAGTCCAGAAATGCTCACGCGAGCCTCATTGGCCAAGGCACGATCGCAGATTTGCCAAAGCATTCCTCCTGCCAAAGCCCAGAAGGTCTGGGGGTCACAGGGCTCATAGTGTTTAAGCGTGCGGCCGACAGGATGAGGCAGATGACATGCTCAAGCTGTCGACTGAGCCGACCAGCGTCTATCTTAGCAGCGCGTAACACCCAAATGCGCCGAGGACCACGTTGTCGACGAGGAGAGGTACGGTCGGGAACTTTTGCTGAGCGTGTCGCGGCGGCGGCCCCGGCGACACGCTATGCATTACTAGCGGATAGCGTGTCGCTCCGCTCCGTGGGGCGGGAGGCTGCGAAAGGCTCGAGACGTTGAAGATTGAGGGCTGGGACGGGATTAGCGTGTTGCGCCGAAGCGTGGTGGGCCAGAACCGGCGGAGCGACACGCTAAGCACACACTCCCGAGTGCAAGCTGAAGTTTCCAAAGCCATTGTGTCGTTGTCGTCGTCCCCTGGGATGGGTCGGGACTCCCCTTCTACTGGCCAGAGGCCAGAAGGAGAGGGCTGTAAACGTTAGCGTCAGTGCTCCGATGGGTAGTCTTCGAGCGCATGGGGGCGAATCGACACAACGGTAATGGATGTGGGTCGTACCATGACTCTCCCTCTGTCCCTGTCCTCCTTCGTGTCTTGTTTATCCTCTCTGCCCCTCTCTTCCACCAATCTCCCTTTCCTGCCTCTCCTCCCTGCAATCCTTCTTTCCTCTCCTGCTCTTTCCCACCCTTTCCATCGGGAGGATGGAATGGGATGGTAGTGGACCTAAAAGTAGCCAGCTCCAGGATCCAGGGAAGCATGCCGAAAGTATGAGGGGGCCGTGGCATGATGAGAAGAGGCTCACGGGGGGAACGTGTTTTTTTGAAGCGCGCGCGCGTCTGCAAGCCAACGAACGTAATGACTCGCCACAGGAACCAACCTACTAAAGTACAGGGAACAACAAGTTAAAATCGCTGCATGGGTGGTGACCCCAGCGCCTACACAACTTCTTCGCGGGAAGGTCTCATTTGAGTAGCTGGGTTCCCTTACGGTGGAGGGTGGTGGTGGTATGAGGCATGCGTAAATCGTAGTAGTGGTAATGGAAGCAGTAGGGATAGTATCGTAGAAGTAGTAGAAGTCGTCGTCATACTGGTAGTCATTATACTACTGGTGCTGGTTGTAATGGCCTGTGTTTTGATAGTGGTAGAAGTCGTAGCAGCAGCAGTAGTAGCCGTCGTCGTCGTTGAAGAAGTAGTCGTAGTAGAAGCAGTAGTCGTAGTAGTAGTGATAGTGGTCGTAGCAGCAGTAGTAGCAGAAGTAATAGTAGAACTAGTAGTAATAATAGTCGTACTAGTAACCGTAATACTAGTAGTAGCAGTAGTAGTCGTAGTGGTAGTAGTAATAGTAGTAACAGTAGTAGTAGTAGTAGTAGTAGTAGTAGTAGTAGTAGTAGTAGTAGTAGTAGTAGTAGTAGTAGTAGTAGTAGTAGTAGTAGTAGTAGTAGTAGTAGTAGTAGTAGTAGTAGTAGTAGTAGTAGTAGTAGTAGTAGTAGTAGTAGTAGTAGTAGTAGTAGTAGTAGTAGTAGTAGTAGTAGTAGTAGTAGTAGTAGTAGTAGTAGTAGTAGTAGTAGTAGTAGTAGTAGTAGTAGTAGTAGTAGTAGTAGTAGTAGTCGTAGTAGTAGTAAGAGTCCGAAACCAATTGCCCTAGCCAGCCCAACCAGCCAACCCAACCAACCAGCCACCCAAACAACTCAACCGGCTCAACCA